GTCCAGATGTGTGTGCTAAGCTTATTAACCCTCGGCGCGCATATGCGCAGCGAGGGTTACGGTAGTTGGTTTGTCTGTCTGTCTGTCTGTCTGTCTGTCTGTGTGTCGACGCTTATTCTGGCACTACAGACTACGAGGCGGCCCATTAGCTATACCAGCGGCTTCAGAACTACGCGAGCCTGAAAATTTATTAGGCGATTTTCCTGAAATGACTTCGTTTGAGAGATATGCCGTGAAAACAAGCGAAAAAGCCAATTGCATAATCGCACTGGGCTTACCGCGACCTGATCCGCTCGCTCTGTGTACCTTGGGGGCTCAGGAAGTCACAACCAATGGTATGTCATTCTATCTACTACTGTAGCTAGCCCGTGTCTGACGCTCCGCGGGCTACTAGCGGAAGACCACGCGTATACAAATAGCCGGCCCAGCCCATCAATTAGCAGTATCGCAGTATCGCAGTTCGCCGAGGGTTTGCACTTTAGTGCTTTTCATTGTTGTATAATACAGTGTTCATGGGTATGTTGTAGATAGGCTACCATAGACAAAATGTAACTGCTGAAAGTAGTAGCTAATGGGGGCTGCTAGTGTCTGAAGCAGGGGCTAGATACCGCATTCACCTCATGTATTGTCTTCAACAGGGATGCAAGGCTCGCGTAACACCGCGCAGACTCTGGCAAGTTGCTCTTCGTGCAAATCAACAGCAAGCTAGCCAGTTGGAAATGTGCAAACTTACTTATAGAAGGTACTGAAGGCTGAGAGTTGCTCTGCAGGTCTGCCAACTCGCCTGGTAATACCCTCGCACAAGCGCATCCCTGCCTGGTGCATGCGCGCGGCTCACAGATGCTGAGTTAGCAAAAAATGGCGTTGTTCAGTGTGACCATGGAAGAGCTCCATGATCTACCGTAGTGACTAGAAGCAAGAAAGAAACGATCGCTTGATGTCCGTGCACACCTCCGGCGAAATTGGAGCCCTTCAGTGAAAAAATCAGCGCTTCAACTTGTTCCAGTAAGGAGAAAGCGGGTCTAAAGAAGAAGGACACCGAGGTTTTAGTCGTTTTTGTACGCGGATCACGTGAGATTTCACCCATGTCATCCCTATATAGAGAGTCTACCGACTCTCTAATATTGGCCCGTACACTATTGCTAATGTGTTTTGAAGGCATAGCGAGTCATTCTTATCATGTGAGATACCGTCCCCATAGAGAGTATCTACCGATGCTGTTGCAGCCAGGCACACTGCAAGACTGTGACACTGCAAGAGTGTGCCATACAAAGAGTTAACATGGCTTCCTGGTACATGTAAACGTTCCTGAGGCAGTCACAGGTTGTAGGAGTTCTACTATCCATGTTAAAAGTGGCAAGCCGGCCTATAAGGTGCCATTCAGGTATTTGTTTGACCAGGTATACATATGTACGACGCCGCCGATTGGATAACCCCTGCTGTGCACGTGTTTCCTCTCTAAATCTCTAAAATGTTATCAATAAAAGCACTCACCATATTCATCTACTGAAGTAGTAGAAACAGAAATGTGTTTCTTTACTGATTCTGGGGCTGACCTAAGTTCAGCCTTAGCCTGTAGTCAAAGAAAGAAACTCTGATTAAGAAAACAGCGCTAGTGCACTATGTGTTATACACCCCCGTGTTTACCGGCACGGTTTGTCGCTGGATTCAAGTATGGTTAGTTGGGAGTACGAATAGCAGGGCTTTAGACAAATTTCACTTGCTAGTTACCCTCGGCGTGCATGCGCAGCGAGGGTACGGTAGTTGGGTCTGTCTGTATGTCTGTCTGTGTGTGTGTGTCTGTCTGTTACTCTACACCTCACTTCACGGGTGTTCTTTCGTCTCACAAAGGATACGACCTACTTAACGGGCAACGAAGGTCAGAAACGGTTTTCTCTGAAACTGCTCCGTTGCAAAGCTAGAGCACGAAAAAGCCAATATGCAAATACACAACGGCTTACCGTACCACGGTCCGATCGATCTGCATGCTCTGCATACCTCGCAGGCACCGGAAGATGCAACGCAGGGCGTGTATCGCCTCTTGCATGCTTCTAGTAGTGTAGTTAGCCCGCGTCAGACTCTGCTCAAGCTGGCAAGAGACCACTAGTAACAGCTAAACTAAACCCAGCCCATCAATTAGTGGTACGGCGTGCGCATCACAGTGCGCTGAGTGCTTTTCATTCTTTCCTTTTTCATATTTGGATCTAAATAATTTTACCACTTGTATAAGGTTAGGAAGATCGTAAAACATTGCAGAACCTCATCCATGGATCCTAGCATTACTCCAAGGACAAGCACAGCAACACATTTTCACACCAACTTTACACCTTATACATTGCTACATTGCTAGTGCATCTTACACAGCATGGATGGTGCATGGATAGACACACAATAACCTTCATGCCATTCTCAACTAAAACCTGGGACCTGAAAATGGACTGGCTGTAAAAATTACCTTGTTCACTCGTAAAATAGTTCCAGAGGCGGAAGAGTGCGGAGAAATGGCTCCAGCCTCTCTGTATCTGTAGGGAATTATGACATAATCCAAACCTCCGACAGAACCTTTCATTGACTTACACTGGCAGTTTCACTAGCTCAGTCATGGGAGGACCATCTCTCATGGGACAAGAGTTCACGTGAGGGTGAAAGGCAGCCAGCTCCCCCTGCCAGCCACACCCTCTGTCCTCGTGACGACAGAACACATGCAGCGAGTTCACTTGACGCTGGAAGTGCTTGCTAAACATTGTGTTCCAATCCTTCTTCTTGCACAGCGGACATGCCCCTTCCTCTCTCCGTATTCTGCTGGCAGCTTCCTCTGAGATATGATTACCACAGCATGATGTGAGGTAAGGATGGAGCAGAAGACCCATTGTCACTGGACAGAAGAAGTCATCTGATGGTTCCTCAACAAATAGATAGTCCTCGTCTACTGACGACACTTGGTCTGGCTCCTCGCTAAAAGAGTGAATTTTAAATCTTTACCAAAGATGGACCAATATGTTTTACTACCTTCTGTTGGCAACATTGGACTTAGCAATTGGCGAACTGTCACTGGTTGAGGATGGAGCCACCTGCATAGAGAAAAGACTCTGATGTCTGGTTGATAATGCATCATAGGACCACACAATGCAATGCAAAGTCACAGAACATTTGTGAACATACTACGATGCAAATCGTTCGGCCATTCGCGACGTGTGAAGCAAAATTGCAGGCACTGGAAAAAAAATTTGGGGTTTACTGCTCGTTGCAAAACTTCGTGTCACAGGCTCAAGTGAAGTAATATGAACCAGGCTCAAGACAATGACAGCCTACTTACTGGTCTCTGAGGAAGGATTTGGTAGACACAAATCTGTGTTGAGGTGTGGATGTCTAGTCTAGTGACACTGAACTCCTTGAAAACAGCCAATGCTCTCTTCTTCCTCAACATCTCCACCACTGAGACGGGTACGAACCAAGTGGCAGTGAAACATCCAGTCCCAATGCTGTTTAACATCATGGCACATGTGTGAAGGTCGTAGCTGCTGGCATATCGTCTCCTGAACTTCTCCACATTTTCCAGTGTTGCAGTTCGGGGCCAGTCAAACTTGACTACCATCTTCCTGAAGCCAGGTGGAGGATCTTCATCGAGCGGCCGAGGGTCAGCCTCACAGAACAGAACCAATGTCGTACGCTTTTTAAACTCTTCCAGATCCTTCTTGTAGGCGGTCATCTCACTAGCAGTCGTGTTGAAATCCTCATGTCTTTCAGTCAGTTCTCCGATCAGGTGGTCGAGCAGATCAGGTGCGAGGTAGTTCCAGTAGAAGTTGAGAGATCCAAACAGCTCAAGATGGTCTTCGCACTGTCGAAGAGCCTTGTGATTCTCTTTGAGAAATAGTCGATGTTCGTGTGTCCGAATGTTGGTGAGAATGTAGACAACCATTACGACGGCAACACCGATCTTCTGTAGGCCTTGGATTGCAAGGTCTTTTAGAGCGTTGAACCTCTTGTGAAGGCCTTTGATTTCAGTCTCCACTGCCGTAACTATTAGATGAGTTACACAGATAACTACAACGCAAGGTGGTGAGATTACTGTTACCAGTAGCAGGGTTCAGTTCAGTGGATGGCTTTGATTTTACCTCGTCATCACCAGCAGTAGTGTTGGCTGTAGACTCTGTGGTGTCTGAGATGATAGAGACATTACCAGCTAAACAAGCAAGAGAACTCTGAGTGGTAACATACCAGTAGTAGTCTTAGGTACCACATCACGTGTTGCGGTAGAGTCAGGGAAATGAGCTGCTTCCACTCTCCTAGCAAGACCTGTTAGGTTGACAGAAGGACTCCTGAGAGCTTCCACCATGACCCTCCATGTCGGTCTGGGGTTTACTTGCTGTAGGAACTTGATCAGAATTCTAAGAAGGTATTGATCAGCCGGAATGTCCTTGGAGTGGATGGCTTCCACGACGTGTTGCGGCAGTTTCAACTTGAGCCCCAGCTCGTAGGACTTGTTCTGTGCAGGCAGTATCTCCTCCAACACGTCCGCGGTATCGTCTGGCGTTAGCGTCTCATCGCCAGCTGGGACTGCGCGAGCAACTACATTATCACCTTTTCTTATTCACCCTCTAAAAATACCAACCTTCCGCCATCCGTGGAGAGAAAAGCTGATCGGTTCTGGCAGTTTTGTTACCTTACATGCCACGCCCCCTGGTCCCGCGGCACCGCCCTCCCCCTGTGAACATTGGGTACGCATGCGCATAGGTACACAGCAAATTGTGACTCATTTTAGATGAGAATGGTGGTTCTAAATAAAATGCTAAATCGCTCACCCTTCTACATTTTATATAGAACACAAATGTAGCCACCATTCTCAGCTACAATGAGTCCTAACTTGCTTGAGAGCTCTACCACCAGTGGAAGTACACCTCACTCTGAATGTCGATGTTCCTGCCTCCACCTCAATAGATGCCGGTACCCCAGTGACTGGAGGAGGAGAACAATCTCTCGCTATATATATATTATATATATACACCATGAGAGATGGCCACTCACTGGGGTAGAGGACGTATATACAGTGCGAAATGCAGGGTTATTGTTATTAACCCACGGCGCGTATGCGCAGCGAGGGTTACTGTACTTGGTTTTCTGTCTGTCTGTCTGTTACCACGTTTTCTGCAACCACGCGCAACGAGACAACGAAAGAGCGATACCAACGGGTTCATCGCTACACTGGGTTCATTTCAAAAAAGACGATTTTCGTATAACTACTGCGTTCAAACGCTATAGCGTGAAAAGCAAGTTAAGAAGCCAATATGCTAATTAGTATTCGAGGAAGCGAGAAATAAACGCATGCGTGTGTTACACTGGCGGGTTGCGCACAATGATCACGTGTTTTTCTCCGTAAATGGCACCGTCGAGCAGCCATTGTTTCATTTTTTCGAGGGCAGCGCTCGAGGATACTTCTTGTCGCTTCTGGTGCAAATACTTTTTTGAGCTGGCAATCAGCACTCGTCTACATTCCGCGCGTTGTAGGCAGAGGGGGCTGACCGATGGAGGACGCGATAGATGCCTGAAGATGTCCGCAGTGTGACACAACGGTACTCGGCGGCTTGGAACCACGCATGTGACACATAGCCCAAACCACATTGGTGGTTCCACACTGCCGAGGGTTTTGCACTTAATTAGTGGATTAACCCTCGGCGCGCATGCGCAGCGAGGGTTAGGTTTGTGTGTGTCCGCGACTAATCTCGCACTACAGGCTACGAGGCGGCCTAAGAGCGATACCAAACGCTTCAGTGCTACAAGCGCATGAAAAACAAAATGGCGATTTTTCTGAAACCACAGCGTTCGAGCTCGAGAAACTGGCACAGTCCCACACCACGTAGCGTGGCCAACCCATCAATTAGTGGTGCGCATGCGTCTGTTGGACGCGGCTCACCTCGACCTGATCCGCTTGCTCTGTGTGCCTTGGAGGCACAAGAAGCGGCAGCGAAGGGCGTGTATCGACTCCCGCATGCTATCTACCATGGCTAGCCCGTGTCAGACTCTCCGCGTCAGTCCGCGAGCTACCGGCGGGAGACCGCGGGTAAACGGTACCGCGCATGCACAGGGTTTGCACTTCAGTGCTTTTCATTTCAACAGCATGTAGTGCACTGTCTGACTTCATAGCAGCCTCTATAAAAAAAATAAAATGCTTGCGCTGCTAAAATCATCTTCTTTCATTCTTGATATCATTCAATTAGCACCAGAAGAGGTTAGCTACCAAGTCGATGAAGGTTGTAGAAAAGTTACTTGAGCACTTCCCCAATGAGGTCTGCATTCTTCTGCCAGCACTTGAGTCAATGGTCGATGTTCTACAGAAACAAGACAAGCCACTCGAGCTGGCCGCTTTTGTTTCTTTTCTCTCAAGCAGCACCTGTCTTCTTCCCCACTCAGTCGAGATAGCTAGACAGCCGTGGCAGACAGTCCCCACTCTACTGTCAGAGGAAGAATGGAAGGCTGGTGCTGTTGCGAACACAGACTATCTCCCTTGTGTTAAGGATCGCTACACCTCCGTCCATGAGTATGGCCGCACCTACTTTCTTCTCCTCAGAGCTGACTGCTATGGGGACTTGGCAACATCCATTCGTCGGCTCGGGGACCCCACATCTTCCAACAAATAATCTGCATGTACTATATCGAGCGAGAGCGAGCGAGAAGAGAGACAGAGAAGAGATTCTGTAGCTTTATTGTTGAAGATGTGCGGATCACGAGAGAGAGACTAACACGCGATGAGTCTCTACATTGACGCGAACGGCTGACATTATTATTATATTAATATGAGGTGGCGGCCATAACTGCAACGAGATCAAGGCAGCACGTAGGAATATGTCTGGAGGCATATGTGATGAGCGATGTCTCCACACTTATATTGAGATGAGGGTGTCGGATTCTCTATATCTTCTCTCTATTTCAGATATTGGCACACTTCTCTGGCGTGCGTATCAGATGAGTGAGACGCCACGCTGTCCCAGCTATCTCGACTGAGAGCAGTATGAGAAGTGCTGGCTTGAGAGAAAAAGCAGACAAAAGAGCGGCGGCTGGACAGCTCCAGCTAGAAGACTTGTCTTTTTTCTGTAGAAGCACGCACGGATGATCGAAGTGTCAACCCGTGAGACTCTCTAACGCTCACAGAGCTGACTGGCCATAGAAGATGCACACCGTCGAAGGCGGTAATGAGCGCCCGCGCGCGCTGAATTGCTACTACGCACTCGCACATACTTTTCTACTCCACACCGATGATACGAGTGAGCTATATCTCTGAGTCTGAGTGATCATGTGAATACTAATCGGCTATATGAGAGAGAGGAGGAGAGTAAAACTTCTTGTTAGGCTAGCGCGAGAGTGTGAGAGTTGATTTTTATATATATGCCTGGCGACTATATACAAGGTCTGATCTATGTACATTTCTACATGCTGTTTGAAATGAAAGCACATCGGCAGTGTGAGACACCCCTTCTCTCTATGTCCCTGCCTCATATCTGACCCTCGAGGATCTTGGCCCGCGTCTATTCGGACAGACGAGACCTTTGGACCGCGGAGAGTCTGACCACACCGAGGCCGAGTTTGGCACGAAATGTAGCCATCACGCACTGAGGAGTGCACGCCTTCGTGCTGCTGTTTCTAAGCTACGTAGTTGTTGCTCCAAGGTACCACCAGACGCCCACGCCGCAGGATAGAGTGAGCGCTGGATACGGAGCCTCAGATGATGCGCGCCTAGTAAGCTTGAGCCGCTATAGCAAGTCGCGCACGTCGGATTGCGTATTTCTTCTCTCTCGACGCCTGAGATCAGGCACTATCTGAGCAGTGTGAGGTTCTATATATATCCACTATACTGTGGGCCAATTGTTGTAACTGTGATAACATGGACGGCTTGTAGCACTGAAGCGTTATTGACGGACGGATTTATCGCTCTTAGGCCGCCTCGTAGCTAGCCTGTAGTGCGAAAAGATAGTCGCGGACACACACAAATTCCGTATATCGGCGCCACGCGGGCGCGCTGGCACGGGGAAGTGCACTCTCGCGCGACGCCAGGGTCTATAATCCGAGCTAGTTAATGCAAAACCCTCGCAGTGTGGAAACGCCGAGCCATGTGGTTTTGGGCTATGTGGTGCCACATGCGGTGGGTTCCAAAGCCCGGAGTGACCGGCTGTTAGTGTTTGCCCACGCGACTAGTCGTTATAGGTCACTATATCTGTCGGGCCATCGATCGAGCGGTTCCAGCCCGACCCTTCGATGCAGTACAGCGAGAAGGTACGCAGGGAAGGGTAGATTCGTATAGCTGGCGAGGCGCTCAGTAGCCAAAGGACTTCCATCCAGAATCGAGCACCACGCGCGCTGAGCCCTCTCTCTGCTCCGCGCGCAAGATGAAAAATGACTGAGGGTGCGATTTAGCCCGTGAATAAAACAACGTGATATGACGTTGTGGCGCAACCCCAGCCAGGTAACAAACGCAATGCTTTTTATTTCTCGCTTCC